ATTTATATGGAAGCATCCCCAGGTAGTGTAGATTCAAATTTGTTCAAATCATGACCCCCGGGGGTAGGGCGGGGCCAAACTTTTGGATTTAAACTTTTCAATAGTAAACCAATTAATTACTACTTTTTCCTAGCCACAATGCTCGAGTGAGCGATGTGGCCCATGGGCCTCTTGTTTAAATGCACTTTTCACAATCATATACTCACAAAGGTAGTTTTGGGAACATATTGATTTTTCTTTAATTTCATTTATTGTTTTAAACCCTTGTTCATTAAAGAGATCATTAACATATTTAAAACCACTTTTGATCCAGTTTGAAAGATAGAGAGGTTTTTCTTTGTAAGTTATGTTTTTGTTAAACCATATATTCTGTAGTTGTAATTTTTCCTGATTACATTGTTTACATTCATTGAATGCACATATCACTTCTTTATAAAACAGACATTTGACATTGAAGTCTTGTATTTTAGTTATATTTGTATTTAACAAGTAAGGGATATCTATTTTACATTTTCCTAAACAAGCACTTAACAATTTGTTTGAATCCTTGTTTTGTTGAACAAGTTTAGTAATCCATGATGCTTTTAAAGCTTTGATTTTGATTTCAAAGTCGGTTATACCTATCCACCTTCTGATACTTTCCTAATAAGAGTTTTGCGCTTAATTCTTTCTTTTTTCCCCCAAAGAAAAGAGAAAATTATTTTATTTACCTTCTTTATAATTGCTTGATCTGGATTTTCAAGTATAGTTGCCACATATAAAAGTTTAGAAATAATAAGGGAGTTAATAATCTGACTCTTTCCGAATATAGTTAATTTCCTATTTCTCCAAGAGTCTAAAATTTTTTCAAACTCTTTCAGTTTACATAGCCAGTTTTTTTCATTGCACTCTACTTTGTTGTGTCCAATATAAATTCCAAGACATTTTACAGTATTTATATTGATCTTAACATTTCCTACATTTAAACATGTTTTTTAGCTCCCCCAGTAAGATACATTCAGTTTTTGATAAGTTAAGTTTTGTTCCTGATACATTTCCAAATTTTTCTATTATTTTTATGGCGTTTTTCAAAGAGTTTATATCCTTTAAGGGAAAGGTACTATCATCTGCATGCTGTATGCATTTTATTTCATTTTCCATCTTTTCAAGCTTAAAACCTCTAACTAAACTTGAACTGTTTATGTTTTCATTTAGAACTTCCATTGCAAATAAAAATAATAACGCTGAAACCGGACAACCTTGCCGTATTCCTCTTTTCATTTTGCACTTTCTCGAAATCCAGCCATTGTTTTTTATAGTGAATTGCGGATTTGTATATAAAATTTTTATCCATTTGATAAAGTTTTCACCAAAATTGAATTTTTCTAATGTTTTGAATAAAAAATTCCATTCGATTGAATCAAATGCTTTTTGAAAATCGGCAAATAAAAGTACACCCTTTAGGACTTTGCCTCTAATATTAAACGGTCAAATTTAATCTCACTGATACCATCACTGAGTGATATTATCCTCTTGATTCTGTGAAAATTTCATTAATTTTTAAATACAAGAAAAGTGAGAAGAATCCTACCTTAACCAACATAAAATATTTATTAATGTAAATAACCCCCACCCCATCCCATCCCGACGCTTACAAACATACTTTGTCTCATTACTTCTCCTTAAATTGAAAACTTTCATTAAACTACAGCTTAGTTTGATCGGCTTTTTTATTTTGATGAGAAAGTCGGCGATGTTACATTGGACGACAAACTGAAATTTAGAGGGTCATTCCTGAGAATGTTACTATATGTACTATATATTTCTATGTAAAACTTAGTTCGGCCATTTTGGCCCCGCCATCATTTTTTTAGGAACAGGACCATTTCTCTAAAAAAATATTGTACAAGAAATGAATACTAGTACATACATTTATAGAGAGGGTCTCTCTTGTACCGAAAAAAAGAACTATTCATTTAAATCTATTTCATTTTAATATTAGTCAGATGTAAACTTAGTCTTATATATCGAAAGAAAAAAATATATCTCTGTCGAGACTGTATCTCTACTCGTTTGTACTTACTTATAATAAAGAAAGAAAAAAGTAACAGTTGGGGCTTAAAACTTATCAAAAGCAATAAATAGAATGACGTCCTTAATTAAGTCTATTTTTGTGGCAAGATTGCAATAAAACTACAACTGTAGTTATAGCTTTCAGTGGAATTTTACAGAATTTTCAAGTTTAGTTACCATGGCAACATCAATCAACAAAATCAAAAACACGAAACTGATAACAGTGTATGCCAGTATAGACTACTTGCATGCTAAATTACATTACAATCTGACTAAAACTGTAGGAGGATTAGCATTTTGAAAGTATTTCACAGAAATTTCTATTTTAGTAAACACGACAACACCGTTCATCGAAATCAAAAACCGATATCTTTAAGTATAGTCTACATGTGAACTAAGTTATTTTGAAATCAGACAAAAAATGTTGGATAAGTAGCATTTTATTATATTATTTCTATTTTTAGTAACTAAGGCAACACCGTTCACAGAAATCAAAAACCGATACAGAAATTAAGTATCTTAGTGTGGTCTACTTGTGTGCCAAGTTATATTGAAATCAGACCAAAACTGCAGGAGGAGTAGCATTTTGAAAAATTGTTTACAGACAGACGGACAGACAGACAGGCAAATATACTACAAAATCAAGTATGCGTCATTTAGAATTTAAAAAAAAAAATTAGCTTCATCAACTTCATTCGACATGTTTTTTTTTTTATAATTTGATAATTATATACATGTACTACTTTTCAAAATTGATTCTAAAATAATCATGCCACAGTAATGTATTCGAGTAAAAGTGATAATAAATAAAGAATAAATGAACCTTTTTCTCACAATAGTATATTAATCAATGTATTGCATTCATTTGTATTCCTTGTGTTTTATATACTTTAACATAAATTGTCAATATTGATGTCTCTCTTTTTCGAAATTTGGAGAAACGAAGCAGATTAAAGATAAAATTACATGTATAGTGAAAATTATAAATTTATTTCTTGATACATATATCTGAAACGTTCACAGTAACATGTGTAAAGCTGTATTAAATCTAAAATACAAAGTTTGGAATATCTCTAAATATATTCTATAGATTTTAGGTTGACTATTAAAATCATTGTATCAAATTAAAAGGAATTTAATTGCTTGTTTGCTTCTGTATTTTCAGTAAAAAAAAATTGTTCTTTTAAAAGGATTTGAATATATTTCATTTATCCCTTTGTTTGTATCTCTTTCTTCCAGCTATCTGACTGTCTGTCTCTTAAACATCCGTGGTCTTAAAGACGTTCCCTTGACTTAATAGAAAACACAGTAAAACTTCAATAATTTATATATCACAAGGGCATATATTATTTTGACAAGCGATATACTGTATCATTGTTCAGGAAAGGTGGATGTGTGTTTCTCTTTACGATGGCCGATATGAGCCGTCAAATTACAAGTAAGAGTAGATCTATTATGTACGCAGAATTATTTGACTTTAGTAGTATTGCCTGTATCATTTTGTACATGTACACTTTGTCAATGGCAAAACGCATGTAGTTGTAGTAGTAATTTGTATACATGTACAAAACTTGAGACAAAATACACTTTAGACTACTTAACATTCCTTAGATTTATTGTCAAGATTATCTGTAAACTTAGAAGGGACAAAATCAAAACCATGTGTTATCTGATTTTTCTTCTATTTCCTCCTGTTCCTCGCATTTTTAATTGTTAATGTGGCGGATTTAAGGGGGGCGCACCCGGCGTGCCCCCTAAAATTATTAAAGTTAGCGTAAATCACAGTTTCGTTTAGAAAATGTTAATATATCTACATGGTAGACCTCTTTTTTACCCTACAAAATCTCTAGAATCCAGGAGCTTCCGGGGGCTTCGTCCCCTGGGCCCCCAACAGGGCTTTGCCCTTTACCCACTGGGGGCCTCAAGCCGGCCCACAGACCCCCGCCTATATTTGGTGCCCCCTCTAACTTCAATTCCTGGATCCGCGCCCGGATCTATGTAAAAAATGAAATAAAAATGTAATCTTGATTCCATAGTTAATGAATAAATGTTTAAAATAAATTTTTCTGTAGGTGTCGCGCTGTTTTATCCTAGCTATTAAGATCACTTTGTCTGCTAATTTGGAATGATATAAAGACTGTCTACACCTGTCTAGTAATATTGATATAAAGAAAAGCAATTTTATCATTTGTAGTTTCGGCATTTTACACTTGTTCACATTCTGGCTTGGGGTAAAGTAAGTCAAAAATACTATAACATTTTCAACAGTAGAATACTGTTAATATTTATTAAATAAGTGATTTCTTTTTACGGTGTTAAAGGATGTTTAAGTGATACTCTGTCATGGTGGGACAGAATATCAGAAGTGCAGCTTATCTCTTCATTCCCTTTTAGAGGAAACCATTTCTACCTGTGATAAGAGTAAATGAACCATACTGACAAACTAAAATTGCAAAACTTCCACGAATATGTTGTTGATGTCTATGTTTACAATGTTTTCAATCTGACAATCACTAGCTAGGCTATAATGTCTTGTCTACTCAAATACGACGTCTCAGGCTACGACACTTTGTTATTAGAAGACTCAGCCTACGACAATTTGTTATTAGAAGACAGAAACAAAATTAAAAAAAACAGAAAACATACCAAAACAGGAAGTTTTGTGTTGGATATGGAATTTATTTTTAAAACTCATGAGGCAGGATTTTCCCGATATTTTACTTTGCGTTGTTCTAAATAATATATCAGAATAATCTTGTCCCACTCTAAAAGAAATTCCATATCCACAACAAGAAAGCATTAGATTATCCTCTAATTGAAACATGTGTATGGATAGTATTTGTTTTCATTTGATGAAAAAATATTTGTGTTTGATAAATAAACAATTTTCCAATTTCCCTTGTTGGAGATGTTAAACATGACTTGTACAGAAAAATGTACTAACATACCAGGTAGTCTTTTTTCACGCTCTCTGTTCCCTGGAAGATGATTTCTGATACCTATAAAGTGTGAAAATATTTAATCAATTTGTATCTTAATTTCTCGTCTTCATTGAGATTTAAAGTTAATTGGCAAAACTGCAAATTCCTGTTAATGAAATTCGCACTGCCCTCTATGATGTTTTGATACATACTATCAACCCATGGCTTCATTGTTTTCCTGACACCAAACATGTTTCTCCTGTAGAACACCACTAGTAACACCACTACTACAGCCAGAAGGATCAGGAGAGCCACCACCACTCCTACTGCTGCTCCTGATCCACAACTGTCTTGTGGTCTGTTAAAGAGACAAAAGTAAAAAGATGTCAGTTTTATATCTATTAATAAGTTTCAGTTTACAATGCTGTAAAATTCAAAAGACTTTCAGCAGGTTCTAGCATTAATGTGTTCTACACAAAGCCATAACGGCATTACGGTGGCCTTATCACAACTTAAATATGAAACCATGCATGTACTTAGTTTTGGAAACTGAAATTTTTCTAAATACAAAAAGGTATGTTCTAATGTTCATTATAATACATGAAGCAAATTCCCAACATTTATGCGTTTGGGAATATGATAATGTATTTAATAAACGATCGTGTCTATGCTTGTATAATCAGTGTAAGGTACGGGGGGTATACCAAAAAAAAATATTTGCACCATACATTTATCGGATGTGATACTTGATTTTGAAAAAAAAGCTTTATGGATACAGGGTGGTGAAAGACCTTTTGTGTGTAAAAGAAAAAAAGGTCATTACCGCACTACCGGTATGTCGACAATATTTATTTATCTCAGTAATTACAGTTTACGTTTAACTTTGACATTTTACTATACGATATATTTTGCCTTCATAGACTTAAATTTAGTACAATTTAGAACATGTATATCAGATCCCTCTAATAATATACGTTGTACTTAAACATCTCTTGAAAGAAAATGCGTGATTAAAATTCAATAAAAAGTAAAATAAAAAGATTAAATTTGCAAAAGAATTAAAATGTGTCAAAATGAGGAAAATAAAAGTACAATTGTAATTTTGGAAATTCAAAAGAGTTTAATGAAATAATATTTGGAAAACAAATCCGTAACAATCAAAAGTTAAAATCTATTTCATAACAGACAGAATGTAGCTGGCATAAACACATTCTAAATGCAGGCTTGATTATATTCTTTATTTAAGACGTCTGTATCTTTTTTACAGAATGGGACAGAACATATATGTTTAGAGATAGAATATATCAATCTTTACAGTTTAAAGGAACCGAGTATAAATTGGATCAGTTGAGATAATTTCCTCAAAAGATATCTCTCTTATCAGAGAGAAATGCTTTGGACTAATCTAATAATACTAGTTATCTCAGTTGTAAGAAAAAAATCGTACAGATTTTTGAAGGAGCTTGTTTGGTGCTGTTTCGTGGATTGAAGCATTTCTGCTGTGCTAAAATAGAACATAATTTGGTGGTTTAAAAAGAATTAAAATAATATATTTTATTTACTTTCCTAGCCATCTTTCAAACAAAACTGAAATTCTATTTTTGATACTATCGTCTGTCTTCTATTCTTCAAGTAGATTCTGAAACCTTTCCATCCATTTTACCTTTTCGAATTTTGGTCAAGACAGCGATTTGTCCTGAAAGGAGTATATATGATAAGAGCCAATTTCGGCCCCCTAAAAATCAACAGTTTAGAATGACATTCAGATATGTTTTATTTATATTTATTTTGTAGCAGAGATTATATATGAAATATTTCCAAAATATTTTTCATATTTATATGCACTCACTAGCTGTAAATGACACGAGAAATAATGCTATTTTTGCTATCTAACAAAAAAGCCAAAAATATGCCTTTTTCTTGATGTTTTTTCTTATGGGAAACATAGAGCGCAGTGTAGAACATGCATAATTTTTCTGTCACTAATTAGTATTGAATAGATACATCTTTGGTAAGAATATAAATCTTGTTCTAGGCTGCGCTCTATATTTTCTGAAAGAAAAACTGCTTGAAAATAAGCAGCTTTATACAAAATATGCTAAAATGGCGGGAAAACGTGATTTTTATGATGTCATATTTCTAAAATAACAGCATTTTGATCAAAATAAACATGACCAAAAAAGGTCGCATATATAGCTGTACAAATTAAAGCTATAAATAAAGTAAAATTAAGATATCCATTTTAAGGGGCCAATTGAGACACTAACCATATATCGCTCTTTAAAAAGGTACAGAAAATTAATGCACAAAAAATGTGTATTCTAATTATAAAGGAAAAAAAGGATCATGAATATTGATTAATCCTTTTTTAATAACAGAAACTAATTACCTTTTGGGATTTGCCAGACAATCTACGCCTATTAAAAAGTGCACAATAATGAATTAATAAAATAAATAAAAATAAACAATTCACATCAATAATTAATAAATATATATAGATTAATGAATAACTTATTAATTAAATGAAGAAATAAATAAATAGATAATTAAATAAATGTATGAATAAATAAATAAATAAGAAATCAGTCAATCAAAGACATACTTTTCTTAACAAGAGCTGATGCTAGGTAAGGTACTTTGGGACACACTTGTCTTACACTGCACTCTGTTACGTCCATTCTCTGAAGCAGCCTGTTAAAATATTGGTATTTTCCTGTTAAAAATATTTTTTCACACCTATGGATTCTTTTGAATATATAATATCATTTATTTCTGACAGAGTAATACTCCTACTGGAAAATATATAATAATATACTATGTATCACCATTTCAATTGATCATTCCTAGTTTATAAATATTTTGTAGAAAGAAATTCCCCCAATGACTTATTAATATGTAGATAATGCCTTTAAAACCGTAAGTGAATTTAATTGTTAATAAGTTAATGACAAAACTGTCATATAGGGACTATATACATTTTTTCCTAATATTTTGGACAAATACAGAAGACTGAGAAAACTGCAAATGAAAAATATAGAGATAAAAAACCAGTATTCAAGCCCAAAAGTCCATTAAACGATACAAAATTGAAGTAAAGCAAACATGGACATTAGAAACATCAGAGTCGGTATCAGATGCCTTGTGGAGTGAGCATCCCCTGCCGACCGGTCACATCCGCCTTGTGTTTCTTGTCATGATTGGGAAATAACGGGAAAATCCGTTGACAAATCAGCGTGTATATATTTCCTAACAATAATTATGAAAAGCACCAGTCAGCATTTGACTTAAAGATAAATTGTATTTGTTGACAAGGTATTTGTATCGACCATAAAACTTTGGAAATAATACTTTTATACTAGACTACTGATATTCTTGTTCAGGATCTTGTTTTTAAATAATAAAAATCGTTTAAGAAGTTGTTCATACGTAGAACATGCTCTTGAGAATCGAATCAAGAAAGAAATATATACCCGCATGCTGGTGATGAAGGATGTTGCTGCCTTCGTAAGGAAAGTTGAAGGTTTAAAATTTAAAGCATTTTGAGCAGCAACTTTGATGTCGGATTTTTTTGCAAAATTGTAAATAACTATTTCAATGACAGAAAAAATAACGTTAATAAACTTCTGTTATTTATATTTGTGATAGAAGAACTATATGTATCCTTCGATTGAATCAAAATTTCATTATTGTCGTCCTGTACAATAATAATTTCCTAGATAAAACTGTATACCGGGGGGTATTGGATTGTAAACAGAGGTCTTTCTTCTGCTTTATTGTAGTCTGATTAATCATAAAGGCTTAAGTTACATACAAATTTATCATAATAACACATTTTAACAGCAAAATAAAGTTTCCAAAAATGCAGTTCATATTGCTTTAAAGTCTTCACGTTTATCATAGAGCTTGATTATTAGATAACAATTAAGGACTTTATAAAGTAAAATATCTAATTATGAACAGATGTCAAACTCTGTGGTATCTTTTATTTCTAACTCACCGGGATATATCGTATCGACATAAGAACGGAAATAGCCATTGTTGATTGACAATACATCGTCGATGTATTCAAATGTCCAGACCGGTCACGGTAGCCTAGTGGTAGAGCGTTCGCTTCGTGATCGGGAGGCCCGGGTTCGATTCTCGATCGCGGCGCCGCGTCATACCTAAGACGTAAACAAAGGTAGTGACTGTTCCTTCGCCAAGCGCTCGGCACTAGAAGTGAAAGTCACGGGTCTTTCGGATATGACCTTAAAAACGTAGGTTCCCGTGTCACGGTAGGCGTTGGCACGATAAAGAACCCTCACTGCTCAATGGCCCTGAGTGCCGAGTTTGAAGCCCTTCACCGGCATCGGTGACGTCTCCATATGAGTGAAAAATTCTCAAGAGGGACGTTAAACAATATACAATCAATCAATCAATCAATCAATCAATCAAATGTCCAGTTGATGGCCACAAGAAATGTTTTCTTCTCTTCACGTTTGAGATTTTTGGACAAATTCTAATTCACATGAATACAAAAATAAGTATCTATGGGAATTCCAATTGATGGTTGGAAGACCTGGTCTCCAACACCAGATAGCTATTGTCGATATGAAACTTTAGCATCTTTTTAAATATTAATTTTGGAGTACTTGTGTGTACAATCAGAATGTTTTTAACAAAAGAAAAAAAAAAGAATTCAATTGACAAATCACATGGTAAGTAAATTTATGAGCTCCATTTTTTATTGAAAAAACAGCTGTCAACAAGAGGCCCAGGGGCTACATCGCTCACCTGAGCAAATCGGCTTGGAAAAAGCACAAATCAGAGCATAACTGAAAAGTTTACTGAAAGGGGGGAGGGGTGCTTGAATTTTAATACTACTTGAGAATGCCTTCATATTAACATTGTATATGACTTTACTGTTCTTGATACAAAGATTTTTTTAAAAACATTTTCTTCCTATATATAACTTCATAATAATTTGAATTTGATTCCCCATTGTTTCCCTCCTTACCCCAAAGGGCCATG